ACGTATTTCGGCTAGGAAATAGTTTTGAACAGCAGCAGTAATACTGTCGGAGAGGTCTGGTGGAGTTGTCTGTGACACACGTCTGTGACACACGTCTGTGAGAGAATGTTTGTCACAAATATTGGTATATCAAACCAAGTTATCCTACGTTTTCTCGTTTATCTGATGATATGGGATGTTAGCGATGAATTACACCGTTGATCATAATAAAAAAAATGATAGTATAATTTGAATGCGTAGACTACTTACTTGAGTAATCTGACAATAACAGTTGAATACGATGTTTGTCCGTCTTGTTTAGAATCGCAAGCGGTGATTTACTCACTACGATTGGTTAGTTCGCTTGAATAATTAATATAGCATCACAAATCAACAGATACATCGCGAGAAATATAGTTCGGATTATTTTGTGGAGAATACAGGAAAGAGTGAGTCTGACTTATAGCCTACATAAAAGGAAACAGAGAAAAATATCAAATATCATGTCGCCTCAAGGTAAATTGCGCAGGTAATGACATTGATCGCATCGCAATCTGTATCATTATTTCTTTTCATTAGTAGTGCAATAAATAAACAGTATAGACGTGCTCTGTCATATTGATCCGATAAAAGAGAAACCATAAATCAAGAAAGATTAGTATAAGGCATGCTATTTTTCTCTATTTGCTTTGTATAGGCTCTAAGTCAGGTCCACTCTCTCCTGTATTCTCCACAAAATAATCCGAACTATATTTCTCGCGATGTATCTGTTGATTTGTGATGCTATATTAATTATTCAAGCGAACTAACCAATCGTAGTGAGTAAATCACCGCTTGCGATTCTAAACAAGACGGACAAACATCGTATTCAACTGTTATTGTCAGATTACTCAAGTAAGTAGTCTACACATTCAAATTATACTATCATTTTTTTATTATGATCAACGGTGTAATTCTTTGCTAACATCTCATATCTATCACATAAACGAAATCTTAAAATTCGAGATATTTATCGATGCGCACGTGTATATAAAAGAGTAAGAAAACAAATTATTACTGAAAATTTGGTGATTATTATTTCCTGGTCCTAATTCTTATGTTTTGAAAGGCTTTTCTTCCTGCTTTGAATTGTGTATCAATTGATCGGACTCTGTTCAAAATCAGTATTTTTTCTTAGGTTGCATGAAAAATTTTAATGTCTAACTATATTGAAGCAAAATCCAAATTCCAGTTTTAGATTCAGGTTTTGTCTAGTCACAAGCAAAATTGGAGTATTGACTAAGCAAATTTAAACTCTACCAGAAAACTTAACGTTTTCTCGTTTTTTTAGCTTTTTGCTGGAATAAATGTCGTAAAATTTTTTCTGGTCAAAATTAACTTTTGAGATGATATGAGGTTATGCAAGTATACGAAGGCGCGAAAGTCATTTATCTCGTGCATTTTCTTGTGATCTGTCAAATACAATTAAAATTTACGTTTCAAAGCTCTTAATGTATTTAAAAATTAAATTTAAAAACTTTTTAAAATATCGAGTAAAATGAGAATATTTCTGAAGGTGTGCGTTACCTTTGACTAAACGCGTAAAATTCGGACTGGGCACAGAATTCTATGAAAGACAGTATAATGTATTAATAAGGTACGGGGAACTCCACTTGAAAAAGTCAGAAAGTGAAATAATTCAGTTAGAAAATGTGAAAGATATTTTATGAGATTATAAATAAAAAGAACACTTTCATAATTAATACCAAACTACTAATTAATAATAAATTTTTCCTTTGTTTTGAAGCAAAAAATGTCACTGATTCTGTATCATTTAATCTTTTTTTCAAAAATCTTGATTTTTTTGGTGAGAAAAGATGTTTATTTATTATTATTTTCTTGGATTATTAATTATTTTTCTTAGATAAAAATATAAAAAATGACCGAGACAATATTTCATGTAAAACTTTAAGTTCATCACTGTTTCTGCTTTATTTGAACTTTAAAGCGTTTCTATCAAAGAAACTAAATTTAGAATAAAATTTGTTCTGTCTGTTATTCAATGTTCTTATATATTGTCAATATAAAAGAGAAATTTTCATTTATGTTTAACACGAAAAAATGTGAGCGTGGGAAAGAGAAAGACGAAAAAAAGTAACAGAACAGGAAAAATGTCTAAATTTACTATCAGAAATCGCAAAAACTGTGGCGACCCTATCAGAAACTCAAAGTCAAATTATAAGAAGCCCGCTGTCGAATTTGCCTTGAAATTCTGCATATGTACCCTTAGTTTTAACTAATTTGATGCAGCTCGGCAAAAGTAGCTAATTTTCTAATGTAATGAAAGTATGGGTATAACTTCGTATGTGTACATCGATATGCTTGAATACCCAACCACATAAAGACTGGATAAAGAACACGTGAAAATAAACCCATGAAACGACACTGATGGTTTTCCTTGTCCGTCTATCTCGTGTTTCTATTTCTCATTCACTAAAACGCTTCATGACGTCGAATGTTTTACATTTGGCACGTACCGAAGGCTCTGACAAATCAAACCACTGGCTGACGGGCACCTCCTCGCTCTTCTAGCATAACACCAAAAATAAATAACTCTATTAATAGAAGCTAATGAAGGGCTGCTCTCCAACTCGTACGGCAACCATCTCGTATAATTATTACTACTAATCAACGGACACCTCGTATTCATCCCTACTTTTACCTTGCTCTCACTCTTCCACCTGATCGTAACGGTTCAGGCCGATGGCTGTCACGTTCACCAAAAGTTCAAGCATAATGATTAATTTCTGGAATTCTATCCGATGTACTTTTTCTAACACATAAGTTCAATATTCTTATTCACATTAAGATTTTTAACCAGTCAAAGGTTCACATAGATGATTAAAAGTACCAATATGTACCGATAAAAGTATCAATATATATGATTACTAACTCAGAGAGCACTGGTACTCACCCCTCTTCTCTGTTTGTACTTACACTTACGACAGAGTCGGAACGGTACACACTGATCACCGCCACGTTCCCCAAAAGTTCAAGCTTAACGATTAGTTCTTAGGATGCGCTCTGCTGTGCGCTTCGTACTTTGATGTAAACGAGTCGCAACGATGCTAACTAACGATCGCTGCCGGAGCTTATGGATCGATTGGTGTTTTCTTGAAACCTAACCAAATCGAAAAAGTTTCAAACTGAGCCGAATCGAACCAATCGATTTTTCAAACCTTCCGAACCGAAGCGAATCTGGCCAATGCTGATTTTTGTATAACCTTTGTATTATTTATATTATAAAAATTTTTGAAGAAAAATTGAAAATACTTGAAGGATGTAAAAACTGAAAAATCCTTCAAGCTCAAAAGACCTTTAATATCTCGGCTCTAGATCGAGTTGAAGTCCTCAAACCATTTTTTCGAATTCAGCGTTAAAAACTGAGTATAAAAACGTTGCATGATGAATTTCGTAGTTAAAAGCCTGTGCAGCACGGGTGTCGAAACCGGTCCTCTAAAGTATTTTGTTTTTACCTCCTTCAAGTACGTTCAGTTTTTTGCGAGGGAAAAAACTTTGGAAACATTTTTGAAGGATACATTTCATTAATCAACTCGATAAGCTAGCTCTATCTAACGATGTATAATTAGTTGCATTCCGCGCGTCGCATTCTGCTTGACGCTTTGATAAAAGTTCAATGGGAGAGGAGAAGAAAATACTGTGAGCCTCACCTAGTTTGAAGGTGAGTTTTGATAGGTGAGCTCACCTATGATTTGATATCTTTCTAGACCCACTGTTTTAAAGATAGAGCAAAAACAGTCCAACACGCTGCATTGAAATTTTCATCCCTGATAGTATATTCTTTTTTTTTGCATTTTCGTACAAGTATTGATAATGATTGTATAAAGAGAGAGCCAATCAGCTCATCATTTGTATATACCAGAGTTCGATCAGATAAATGCTAAACTAACTAAATTAAGAACAATATCTACCTTTTGCGCAGTAGCACTTTTTAGATGTACTTTTTCAATCTCCCAACAAAAAGTAGCCGAAACTGAACCGAACCTCTCAGCGAGTAAGAAATTTCGCGAACCCAACCGATCGATTAATTCAGAAGTCCACACTATAGTAATTTGAATGCCTATGCTGGTCTTGGGATAAACTGTGCCTATCCGAACTCGTACGATCATTCAACAACAACATCGGCTTCTCGGTACAGCTGCTCTTGTCAATGTCGTTGGCGCTCGGATCAAGGTATCGCATACATAACAGAAAATTCTTCACTTGAGTGTGTCACTGTATGCAAGGCTATTTGATCGAATGCTTGTGTTAGTTAGAATACCTATGTTTGTTTTGGGATAAACTTTTTTTTTACTGAGGATGACCTAGACAAGTTCTTTGTTGAACTTTTGTCATTACCCTGCCATTTTATTACCATCATGGACTAAAATAAAACTGATTGATTGATTGAACTGTGCTTATTCGAACTCGTATTCAAGAACAGTACCTGATTAAAAAACCGCTAGCTATTGAAACTTAGTAGTTGGTTGCAGTATTCCGTTGTTGTAATACTTTTATCCTTCTCTTATTTTTATTCATATTGGCAGGACGTACTATTTAAACAAATAAAGCTCTTTTCTCTTCCTCTCATCCATTGCTGCAAGATTAAATTCACGTGTCCGTATTCTGTCGCACTGACAGCACAGTATTGTTGTTGAATGGTTTTTGGGAGAGAGAAAAGTAATAATAAGAATAAGAATGAGAAAGATGATTGTGCAGAAACAAAGTCTTATCGCACTCTGTGCTCCGTCACCGCAGAGTCACTGTTTGTCTTTGTAAGTACATTTTAGTCACATGTGCATGCCTATGGTGAAGGTTATTAATTGTTAGTTTAAGAAAGTCGTGAAAATGAAGGAGAGCAGCGATCTCGACCAAAGTGAATGGCATTTTTATAGACAAGAAAACCTTAATATATTTCTTTTAAATCAATCGACAAATAAATGCACAAAATTCTTAAAAAAAGTTTTGCCAGCCAGACAAACTCAACCGCGGCGTATTGTTCCACATGCTATGCGAGCACCGGCATTTCTACAAAGAAGGAGATACATATGAATACCTAGGAGAAAGGCGTCAACTGATTAACTCACCCAGTTGTGTTGCTTTCACCCTTGCCTGTATGCCCACCGTCATCAGTCAAATTGTGAATCATGATAGGTAAACCGATAACATTTCGAGTCACATCGAATCCAATCGAAATGACATCATCCCGTTGTGCAATGTAGGCGCCTCCACCGGCATTCGTTTCAATATTGCCTAGATCACCGACATGTCGAATTGGATCGCGTGGCATCCCATGAGAAACATCTGTGAAAGCAAAGTATTGCTCTGAGACGAACAAAGAGATTCAAACCACTACCACTCACTGTACGGATTGAAATGGGCACCGCCAGCTGTGCAATTGTGGTTGTCTCCAATGGGTAGAGAATGGATATGGAAACCCTATGATCGAAAATCATTTGATTTTCTTCAAGTGAGAAAATACAGAGTGTAACAAAACCATTACGCCTCCTCTGCAACTTAAAGTATAAATGATATCACAGAGTATTATATGCCAAATTAATGCTCATTAAAAACTGGATTTATGAGTGTAATTATAGACCGTACAGCAATTATTGACTATAGAATTATTCAAATGTCTTGAACTATATGCCAAAATGCGCTCCTATTTTACGGTTTTCATTCTTCATGCACATATTTTAATAAAAATAATAGCAGATTCATGATCTCCATCAAAACCTGAATCTATAGACATGTCATTTGTATATTTTTGACGAAAAACATCCTGGGTGTACCTCAGACAAAAATTTTTGTTGACCTTAAATATCCTGATTTTATATATCGGTCGAAACAGCTTTTGACTGAGATTACGAATTTGATATTATTTTTGTTGAAAAATGGAATGAAAAAAGCAAAAAGTGCAAGATACGAGCCCGTCCATTTTTTTCGAAAAATTCTTTTTCGTCAAAAATATACAAATGACATGTCTATAGATTCAGGTTTTGATGGAGATCATGAATCTGCTATTATTTTTATTAAAATATGTGCATGAAGAATGAAAACCGTAAAATAGGAGCGCATTTTGGCATATAGTTCAAGACATTTGAATAATTCTATAGTCAATAATTGCTGTACGGTCTATAATTACACTCATAAATCCAGTTTTTAATGAGCATTAATTTGGCATATAATACTCTGTGATATCATTTATACTTTAAGTTGCAGAGGAGGCGTAATGGTTTTGTTACACTCTGTATTTTCTCACTTGAAGAAAATCAAATGATTTTCGATCATAGGGTTTCCATATCCATTCTCTACCCATTGGAGACAACCACAATTGCACAGCTGGCGGTGCCCATTTCAATCCGTACAGTGAGTGGTAGTGGTTTGAATCTCTTTGTTCGTCTCAGAGCAATACTTTGCTTTCACAGATGTTTCTCATGGGATGCCACGCGATCCAATTCGACATGTCGGTGATCTAGGCAATATTGAAACGAATGCCGGTGGAGGCGCCTACATTGCACAACGGGATGATGTCATTTCGATTGGATTCGATGTGACTCGAAATGTTATCGGTTTACCTATCATGATTCACAATTTGACTGATGACGGTGGGCATACAGGCAAGGGTGAAAGCAACACAACTGGGTGAGTTAATCAGTTGACGCCTTTCTCCTAGGTATTCATATGTATCTCCTTCTTTGTAGAAATGCCGGTGCTCGCATAGCATGTGGAACAATACGCCGCGGTTGAGTTTGTCTGGCTGGCAAAACTTTTTTTAAGAATTTTGTGCATTTATTTGTCGATTGATTTAAAAGAAATATATTAAGGTTTTCTTGTCTATAAAAATGCCATTCACTTTGGTCGAGATCGCTGCTCTCCTTCATTTTCACGACTTTCTTAAACTAACAATTAATAACCTTCACCATAGGCATGCACATGTGACTAAAATGTACTTACAAAGACAAACAGTGACTCTGCGGTGACGGAGCACAGAGTGCGATAAGACTTTGTTTCTGCACAATCATCTTTCTCATTCTTATTCTTATTATTACTTTTCTCTCTCCCAAAAACCATTCAACAACAATACTGTGCTGTCAGTGCGACAGAATACGGACACGTGAATTTAATCTTGCAGCAATGGATGAGAGGAAGAGAAAAGAGCTTTATTTGTTTAAATAGTACGTCCTGCCAATATGAATAAAAATAAGAGAAGGATAAAAGTATTACAACAACGGAATACTGCAACCAACTACTAAGTTTCAATAGCTAGCGGTTTTTTAATCAGGTACTGTTCTTGAATACGAGTTCGAATAAGCACAGTTCAATCAATCAATCAGTTTTATTTTAGTCCATGATGGTAATAAAATGGCAGGGTAATGACAAAAGTTCAACAAAGAACTTGTCTAGGTCATCCTCAGTAAAAAAAAAGTTTATCCCAAAACAAACATAGGTATTCTAACTAACACAAGCATTCGATCAAATAGCCTTGCATACAGTGACACACTCAAGTGAAGAATTTTCTGTTATGTATGCGATACCTTGATCCGAGCGCCAACGACATTGACAAGAGCAGCTGTACCGAGAAGCCGATGTTGTTGTTGAATGATCGTACGAGTTCGGATAGGCACAGTTTATCCCAAGACCAGCATAGGCATTCAAATTACTATAGTGTGGACTTCTGAATTAATCGATCGGTTGGGTTCGCGAAATTTCTTACTCGCTGAGAGGTTCGGTTCAGTTTCGGCTACTTTTTGTTGGGAGATTGAAAAAGTACATCTAAAAAGTGCTACTGCGCAAAAGGTAGATATTGTTCTTAATTTAGTTAGTTTAGCATTTATCTGATCGAACTCTGGTATATACAAATGATGAGCTGATTGGCTCTCTCTTTATACAATCATTATCAATACTTGTACGAAAATGCAAAAAAAAAGAATATACTATCAGGGATGAAAATTTCAATGCAGCGTGTTGGACTGTTTTTGCTCTATCTTTAAAACAGTGGGTCTAGAAAGATATCAAATCATAGGTGAGCTCACCTATCAAAACTCACCTTCAAACTAGGTGAGGCTCACAGTATTTTCTTCTCCTCTCCCATTGAACTTTTATCAAAGCGTCAAGCAGAATGCGACGCGCGGAATGCAACTAATTATACATCGTTAGATAGAGCTAGCTTATCGAGTTGATTAATGAAATGTATCCTTCAAAAATGTTTCCAAAGTTTTTTCCCTCGCAAAAAACTGAACGTACTTGAAGGAGGTAAAAACAAAATACTTTAGAGGACCGGTTTCGACACCCGTGCTGCACAGGCTTTTAACTACGAAATTCATCATGCAACGTTTTTATACTCAGTTTTTAACGCTGAATTCGAAAAAATGGTTTGAGGACTTCAACTCGATCTAGAGCCGAGATATTAAAGGTCTTTTGAGCTTGAAGGATTTTTCAGTTTTTACATCCTTCAAGTATTTTCAATTTTTCTTCAAAAATTTTTATAATATAAATAATACAAAGGTTATACAAAAATCAGCATTGGCCAGATTCGCTTCGGTTCGGAAGGTTTGAAAAATCGATTGGTTCGATTCGGCTCAGTTTGAAACTTTTTCGATTTGGTTAGGTTTCAAGAAAACACCAATCGATCCATAAGCTCCGGCAGCGATCGTTAGTTAGCATCGTTGCGACTCGTTTACATCAAAGTACGAAGCGCACAGCAGAGCGCATCCTAAGAACTAATCGTTAAGCTTGAACTTTTGGGGAACGTGGCGGTGATCAGTGTGTACCGTTCCGACTCTGTCGTAAGTGTAAGTACAAACAGAGAAGAGGGGTGAGTACCAGTGCTCTCTGAGTTAGTAATCATATATATTGATACTTTTATCGGTACATATTGGTACTTTTAATCATCTATGTGAACCTTTGACTGGTTAAAAATCTTAATGTGAATAAGAATATTGAACTTATGTGTTAGAAAAAGTACATCGGATAGAATTCCAGAAATTAATCATTATGCTTGAACTTTTGGTGAACGTGACAGCCATCGGCCTGAACCGTTACGATCAGGTGGAAGAGTGAGAGCAAGGTAAAAGTAGGGATGAATACGAGGTGTCCGTTGATTAGTAGTAATAATTATACGAGATGGTTGCCGTACGAGTTGGAGAGCAGCCCTTCATTAGCTTCTATTAATAGAGTTATTTATTTTTGGTGTTATGCTAGAAGAGCGAGGAGGTGCCCGTCAGCCAGTGGTTTGATTTGTCAGAGCCTTCGGTACGTGCCAAATGTAAAACATTCGACGTCATGAAGCGTTTTAGTGAATGAGAAATAGAAACACGAGATAGACGGACAAGGAAAACCATCAGTGTCGTTTCATGGGTTTATTTTCACGTGTTCTTTATCCAGTCTTTATGTGGTTGGGTATTCAAGCATATCGATGTACACATACGAAGTTATACCCATACTTTCATTACATTAGAAAATTAGCTACTTTTGCCGAGCTGCATCAAATTAGTTAAAACTAAGGGTACATATGCAGAATTTCAAGGCAAATTCGACAGCGGGCTTCTTATAATTTGACTTTGAGTTTCTGATAGGGTCGCCACAGTTTTTGCGATTTCTGATAGTAAATTTAGACATTTTTCCTGTTCTGTTACTTTTTTTCGTCTTTCTCTTTCCCACGCTCACATTTTTTCGTGTTAAACATAAATGAAAATTTCTCTTTTATATTGACAATATATAAGAACATTGAATAACAGACAGAACAAATTTTATTCTAAATTTAGTTTCTTTGATAGAAACGCTTTAAAGTTCAAATAAAGCAGAAACAGTGATGAACTTAAAGTTTTACATGAAATATTGTCTCGGTCATTTTTTATATTTTTATCTAAGAAAAATAATTAATAATCCAAGAAAATAATAATAAATAAACATCTTTTCTCACCAAAAAAATCAAGATTTTTGAAAAAAAGATTAAATGATACAGAATCAGTGACATTTTTTGCTTCAAAACAAAGGAAAAATTTATTATTAATTAGTAGTTTGGTATTAATTATGAAAGTGTTCTTTTTATTTATAATCTCATAAAATATCTTTCACATTTTCTAACTGAATTATTTCACTTTCTGACTTTTTCAAGTGGAGTTCCCCGTACCTTATTAATACATTATACTGTCTTTCATAGAATTCTGTGCCCAGTCCGAATTTTACGCGTTTAGTCAAAGGTAACGCACACCTTCAGAAATATTCTCATTTTACTCGATATTTTAAAAAGTTTTTAAATTTAATTTTTAAATACATTAAGAGCTT